ATGTCGAAGCCATTTGCAAGTGAGTCAACTGCAAACGAACGCATTAACGCATGGACAAACCTGCAGCAATGATGCCAAAAGCAGCCAAGGAGTAGCTGTGAATGCGCTTCCTTCTTACTGACTATATAATTACTCAATATAATATCTGTAATATACTAATATATAATAGGTACGACCCGGGCAATTGCACATAGGTCTATGTGACCCAAACAAGAGGTGAATGTAGGGTTTAATTGCCGCCTTTGGCACAAGGAAGAGAGTGTGCGGCGAGAACAAAGCTCCGACCGCCCGTAATCCCAGGAAAGATCCTGGTTCTCACTTTAAAAGGAGGCTGAGTCGACCTCTGAACCACCCAAAATGGGAATCCATAGATAAGAATCCACATTTGAGGAGATTCGAACCGGGATCCTTGAGCTCAGAAAGCCAGCTCTACCACAGAGCCACGGCGGCTCCAATAATATACACTATGTTATCAAAAGTATCCGGACACGCCCAAAATGGTGTTTTGGCGTGGTAGTGTTTTTCGTGGAGGGGGGATTGCACCCCTTGTTTTGTGTGGCACTATCACGGCACTGGCAAACGATGTTTTAAACACCTTTTTGCTTCCCACTGTTCAAGAGCAATTCAAGGATGACGATTCATCTTTCAACACGATCGAGCAACTGTTCATACTGCACGGCCTGTGGCCGAGTGGTTACTCGACAATAACATTCCTGAAACTGGCCTGCAAGCGTCCTGACCTAAATCATATCGAACATCTTTGGCATGTTTTGAAACGCCGACGTCGGGCCAGGCCCCACCGACCCACATCGATACCTCTCCTCAGTCCAGCACTCCGTGATGAGTGGGCAGCCATTCCCCAAGAAACCTTCCGGCACCTGATTGAAAGTATACCTGCGAGAGAGGAAGCTACCATCACGGCTAATGGTGGACAAACCCTCTACTGAATTCCAGCATTACCGATGGAGGACGTCACGAACCGGTAAGTCAGTTTCAGCAACGTGTCATCATACTTTTGATCATATAGTATATAATAATCTCCCCATTCTAATGAACATCGTAACTGTTAAGATAATCTATTTCAATACTAGAACGTATCGCTCCTGCTCGGCTGAAAAGTGAAGCGCGCTCACTCTCGGCGATCGCGTGCGCTTCCGGCGGCGGCGCGTGCGCCGAAGGACGCGTCGCAGGCGTCGCGACGGCACGCAACTGGCGCCCACGCACGCGGCCCAAGAGGCGCGTGACCGCCGCGCGGCAGCAGACGGGCGGTGGGGTCCCGGGCGGGCTGTACGCGAACCGCGCGCAACGAAACCTTGCACTGCGCGCATGCTCAACTTTTGGGAAGACTAGGAGTGTGTTTCGTGTTTCCCGGCGCGTGAACTGGTTTGGTTGTTGGTTCCGTGAGTGTAATGCATGGTGTAGCTGGGTGGTAGTGGTGTTCCTCCCCCGCTGGAAACTCAATCGGGAGCTCAATCGGGAGCTCAATCGGGAGCTGATCGATCGGTTCCTTCAAGTCGGCTTGCGGGGTTTTCCTACAGGCACCTCCCCGGCCAGGGTGAGCTCTCTGCTCCCGATTGGTTTCCGATATACGTGTTAGTGTAGTGCTTGTAAGTGTGAGTGTGTGGGTGTGTATGTATGTATAAGGGGGAATAACATGAGGAAGGAAAGATAGCGTCCGTCTGTTGTACTGTTCCGGCCATCGCTCGGTATCGGTCAGAAGAAACACTTGCTGAGAGCAATCAGAAACTAGAATTTTCAAGTCACTAGAATTCCTCTAGTTCTACAGCTAACGTCTAAAATCCGCCACCGTTTAGATTTTAACCACAGGATCTTTCGGTTTGTAACACTGCTATAGGAACAACCGTTGCTATCAGGGTAGACTTTTTTCAAATTCTGAACAAAGTAAATTACTATCTATTTTATATTGAAATAATTAGTAAATATGATAAAATTGATTGTTGACAATTTTAAATTATTGTGGGAGAAGGTGGTAGAGACAGTGTAAATGGCCGCAACACTGCGCGATTCGAAGCAGGAATACCGTGTCTTCCGCCCAGGTTTACCGCTGCCAATCCCATCTACCTTCTCCACTCCTAAACGCATTACAATGGCAGAGCATACGCAAGAGCGGAGTGGCGCTGAATATTCGAATCGCGTGCCCGGAAGCAGCCAAAAAGCAGTTTTCGTGAAACGAACATTTTGTATTGGAAGTATATCGCACCCAACTTCATCAAATAACAAAATGCGTATACACGATTATATATCAGTATAATTAAGTGACATCCGTCATAAATTAGGTGTTTCTGGTTCGGGCGCACTGCAAGCATGTTGTAAATACTACCTTTATTCAAAATTATATACGGTAGATTTTTAGAATACGAAATTTATCTCGAGGCAGTAGAGCTGACGATTATTTTACACATACCTTCCACTTAAGAAGTTGTGGAATATTTAGGATTTTGAAAACCTAAAACACTTTCGAAAATATAATTAATATGAATACTATGAAACTGACTTTTACATAAAAACATCGCCAAAGTAATTGAGAACCGATTAATGAGGAAACTTTATTCAGGCTAATACGTCACAAAACAGTAAAATTATGAAACCTTCGAAGTCACGGCAGGCAAGTAGAAATATTGGCAGTTGGAGTCAACAAGACCTTGGTATATCAATTTTGCATCATTCCTTGAACCAATTAGAGAGCCTTGACACCGTTCAGCAGATTGATTTACAACATCAATGATTTTTGAGAGTCTATTATTTCAACCTAGTAATTGAGTGAATGTGGAAATTGTATCCTGTGTCCTCGATGTTTTAAACGTATTATCTACGGCTATATTATACTTTTTCTGACGTGACCTTCCCTCTACAACTTTCAGGAATACCTTTTTAACCATCATTTTTAGGACATACGTAGGAAAAGAAGGCAGGATAAACTATTTAAGCAAGAAATGAATTTCAACTGTATTATATAACAGGAATTGTACTACTTTTCTTCAGGTACCACTTCCATTTTTGAATTCGCTGTGTTTTCAAATGATTCCCCCGCTTTACATACACACATACGTACATATCTAAACTTATTACGTGCAGAGTTTTCCTAATTATAATGTTCTCTTTCTCAACATTAATTGAGTAATCTAATATAATATATAACAATACTTCTCGTTGCAAAGCTCACAAAGCTCTAGGACACATTTAAGATATTCTCTATCACATTTCACGAAATAACAGTTATGAAAAAAAAGTTGTTAATGAGATACACTAGTCTTCACCCAAATATGACCCTCACAGGACCTTTCACAATGTTTTCAAAATCGAGATTTATTAAACCCTTCTTGAGCATAGTATCAAGTCACAATACTTGCCACCTGCAACTGAGATAAAAGTTCCAAAACGAATTCTTCCTCACCTCCTTCGATGATATCGAAGGGAATGAGGAAAAATTCCGTAGGAAATGAGGGAAAATTTATACTTAATATTTTTTCAATTAAAAATAGGAAACTTATTAAATAATTGAAACATTCATAATTATAGTATACAGTTTGGTATTAACAATACTACTATCACTATGAAACTTAATGCAACATTTGTGTTTTAATAAAATGCTACATTTTTAACCAAATAATATTTACTTTAATCTAGTAATAAGAAGGTCATCTAACAATATGAAACTTAATACATTTTTTCTCAATACCCCTCGATTGTTTTAATTACTATAATGGGAGACTCTTTCCTGTCTAAAATAAAGTTTTTCTAATGATCTATGATCTTAATTAACCCCATCTTTACAACCTCAGAGTTTTACGTCAAACTTTGGAAAAGTAATCGATAAACTGGGTGATGGCAATAATACTGTTGGTATTTAAATGAAGTGACAATTGGTAGGAAGGGGAAACGGGATAATCTCAGAAAAAACTGCAACAAACATTATTCGTCCACTACTACAAATGGATCGTCTGGGATTAAAACCCTTGTACATCTCACACAATTTGCGAAGAATTGATTATGCTGATGATCTCGCAGTTGTTCTGGTAGTAATCGCAAATAGAAATTCCATCCCAAGATGGTACTCAACTATTAGAAAAACGGTCACAAAAATAAGTAAAATGCCAATTTTCGAAAAAATAGTTTAATGTTTGTAGAAAATCGTTGCTTTCCTCGAATTATTACTACATAGTTAACAAATAAAAGAAGAATCATACAAATATTTAGGTACATATTTAGATATTAAATTAAATTTTCAATGCATATTCGTTCCGTTTCTCGTAGTGCAAGTCAACTTTCCTCAAACTTTACGCCTTTTAATTTTATATGACATTAATCGTCGATCTCTTCACTTTGTAAGGAATATTTTTACGCCATTCCTTCATAAAAAGTATCAGGTTGGTTTAATCGTACAATACTTGCACTCAACAACAAAGTTTTCAACACAGCGAAAGGTTTTTTTCTTCGATGGTAACATTTAGAACAACTTCTGCGGATGCCTTGCAAGTTCTCACTGGATCGACGTCTTTAGAACGTGAAAATTTTCTTTTAGAACAGATCTTTGGAAAACCCTAAGAAGTGAAACGTCCTTAAATTAATATTGCAAATTTGGCAAAATTGATTGAATTGTAGTTTAACAGGTTGAGGTATTATTTTTTTCCTTATGTTGACTTTGTCAGAAAAAATAAAATGGTTTCGTCCGGCAATTGAATACAATTCTTACATGACAGGGCATGGACACTTCAATTTCGAACGTCATTTTTTAAGCTCATTGATTTCCCAGGGTTCAGGTGAAGACCCTCACTACCCTGAAGAAGCCTACGATATGACAGGCGAAACGTCGGCCTCTCTGCCAACGACGCGGCGTCACCCGGACAGCCAACAAGTCATGAACTCGAACCGCGGAAGCCTACGTGAGGAAGAACCATGGGCAAAGCAAAGAGCAAAGAAGAGAGCGCAGTTACCTCGAGGGAGTCCTGCTCGAGGCCGTCTGTGTCGTCGAATGTGACGACGCGTCGCTGCTCCTCGCGGGGCGCCACGCCCATCCCCAGCGCCTCGCACCCGGCGCTCGTCACCCCCATGGCCCCGCCCCCGCCCCCACCCCCGCGCACGAACTTCCTCACCGTGGGCACCTGTGGAAGCGGCGGCGGGGGCGGAGGGGGTGGCGGCGGAGGCGGCGGCGGAGGCGGCACCGACGTCAGGCACGTAATGGCGGTGCGGCCCCCGTTGGGGCGCACGACACGCAGCTATACAATGAGGCCGAATCTTCAGAGGGATCACAGACGCACTTGTTTGCAGATCGGTGCGCCAATTACTTGTTCACGTGACACCGTTTACGTCTCGTAGAGCACTCTTCACTTTACATAGTTTGGTCTCTTGATAAGCGACTTATACGTTCTCATTTACTCACACTTCAACCCTCGCACAAAATCAATTTCGTTTCACTTTTAATCAAGTCAGTCTTCACAATGCAGTTCGCGAACTATTCACTAAGGCACAACGTTTGCCCATGTACTAGAGTTCGTAACCAGTCCATCTCGTCGTTGGAACTCGTCTCAAACTAACGTGGAAAGCGCGGAGCAGCCCAGACTTAACGAAGAACAAAAACGTATTCGACGTTCATGTGGAGAAATTCAGCGAATCAGAAGAGTTGGTCCTGTTACGTTGTTTCGATCACAACCGCGAAGGAATATCACGCCATGTCAGTTGTCAGCGGTCGCGCGCTCTCGGGTCAGCTAACAGGTTTGATTGTTACCTGTAATGGCTTACAGAAGATCCGCTATCTAAATAGAACTCTTAGCTAAACGGACGCAATGGGTTCACGTTTATGCTCACGCACAATGAGATCATTCTCTAAACACATTTTCAGACTTGTGATATGTTCGTGATAACGTGTTGTCATTGAATCGGTACTGGACAAATCAGAGGTGTAACAGATTTAATTGAATATTCGATATACCCACTATTTAAGGGTTTTTCTCTCACACACGCATTTGGTTTTGAAACATTTTAGTTGAAAAACATTTATAGTTACCATAAACGTTACCATAAACAAAATATTTGTAAACTCAAGTTATTTCAAATGAAATGAATGACAACTCGTCAATACTCGAAAACTTGAAATATGTTTTAACAATTTTTTATACTACACCAACTACACCCACCCACACATTTCCCTCTGAGAACGGCAACAAATAAAATATGAAGTTAGCTGTTTTATTTAACGTTCTCTACAGCTGTTCAGGGACAGTTCAGTTCCAAACCAGTAAAGTTACGACCTGAGCTCCGCTGGTGGGCCACTCTAACGTGGCACAAGGTGGTTTGAGATAACGGCGGAGCTACTTCTGCCCACTGCCTCGCTCCTCTTTCGGTGATGATGCGAGTGGCAATTTTCCACGCTGCCTGCGAAGCTTGACGACCGCCCGTCTGGCACGCGCTGCCCTCTCCGACGACCGGCCCAAGAAGAGTATTCTTGCGGAACGAAACTCGAAGTAGGCAATCCTGAACCGAAAATAATTGAAATTTCGAGAGGCTAGAAAAGATGAATCAATTGTACACCTATAACGTCAAATCGTTTTGCAAAAAAAAAAAAATTATTAAGAAAGTTATAATTCCGAAGCAAGGAGTGCAACGAGTGAATCACAAGGTGTGAATCATGAGTCTGTCATCATTTACCTGAGGATGAATCACCGAAAAGTTTTTGCAGGAAAAGAAACTCAAGACGACGAACAAGAATGAGGCACAGGTCTCAAAGTGTAGAAGCACAGGAATTGTAGTTCCCAAGCGTATTGTAAGTCTCAATATTCTGTACCCTGTTCAATGTTAGCTATGAGTCAGTCGAATATAATACATTAAAAGGAAGATCAGAAACAAATTAAAAAAATAAAAAATAAAAATCTCAATATTACAAATTTTGATATCACGTATATTTAACACAGAAAATGGAAATAATACTAGACAAACACTGAAGAATCAAATAAACTAACATTGAGTATTGAACACTCGTCCCCAATAAGCTAGAATGTTCACATGTATTAAGTGAGTAGCATGGAACCAAAGGAAAGAGCATCACTGGCAAATTTCTTACTAGCTCAAGAAAGTTCAGAAATATAATCCAAATACCATAGCCCTGAACGTCTCTACGGCACTCAGAGACATTTAAAAGGAAGTATCGAATTAATCTTGAGCAGTGACTGGTATGATAGATACAACCAAAAGAAATGGAAGCAAAATCTCAAATTTCGCAGGCGACAACCACGGAACAAACACAAGAGCTCGCCAAGAGCGCCGTAAATAAACACTGGAAGCTCCAAAAGTGGGACCGGAGATGAGCCACGCGGCGCCTACAGCCGTCGCCTCATTCAATGCCAGAGGTCGCGGGATCGCGGGCCGGAACCGGCGCGGGCACCTCGGCCACCGATTTTCGCGCCTTTCTCCTCCGCGTCTCGCCGCGCGGCGCCGCCCACCCGCCCGACCTTTGTTTCCGCCGCACAAAGCGCGGGCGTCACGCCCCCGTCGCCCCTGTCGCCCCGCCCCCGCGGCGCGCTGCCCACGGCCGCGGCCGCTTCCTAGACTTTGTCCCGCTTCTGGGTCTCCCTTTGTCGATTGTTGACGTCCTTTGGACGGCGGGTCGCTAATGCATCAAGTGCCCGCGCCCCGAGACAAAAGACCTACTAAGGCTTCCGGGGGCAACGGGCCGCCCCGTGTCTCCACGATGCCTCACGATTAGAATAGACTCGCGTGAAATTTGTGTATTGAGCGAAATTGAAAGACAGAAATAAACTGGCTTCGATTAGGTGTCAATATATTATATCACGAAAGGAGACAACTGATCAGATCTGATTAGCCAACGCTTTTTAACAGTGTCAAGAAAGATTCGAAGAAATGGAAATATAATTTAACCGTTTCAAAAGAAAAGTTTAAAAAAAAACTACTGAGATTACGAATCTTCAGTCACGTTTGTAGTTATTGATCAAATGACTTAATGATGAGTTAATATCGCCATATGTGTAGTTATGTATCAATTCCACGAAAATCTGAAATAACGACCGATCGTTTATCTAAGAGTCGCATATGCATACAGAACTACTTCGGCGATATGAGGTTATTTGGAAGTTGTGCTGTCGAACCCTCCAAAAAATTCCGACACGGCGCGGCTGACGACGTCGCTTAGGGCGAGGAGGGAGAGGCCGGGGGGACGGGGGGTGGACGATCATCGCGCTCGGCCGAGCGGGCAGACAAACGAGCAACGCGAAGCGACACAGCGCGCGACGGAGGTGGAGGCAGCGGCAGGGGCAGAGACAGGCGGTGGCAGCAGCCAGGAGAGGAGCAAGGCTACAATGGACTCTGCACGCTCACACCTTGGAATTTCTAATTCCCTTTTAATCGTTTCAAAGCAAAACGGAGGGAGAAGTAACAAATTATAGAACACGTTATTCAACCACATACACAAACAATTGCGTATTGGAAGTCCTTGAATTAACCCTTGATTAATCAGTCATAAACACGTGTATTACGAACACGTGTCTAACACACAAAAAACTAAAAAAAAATGTTCTACAGCGTATTTATGATGAATTGTTTTTACACTTGTATTGATTTTATTAACTTTTACATTGAACTAGTGTGAGAGGAAAAACCTCAAAATTGCGGAAACTGTAATTTTTCAAACTTGTCGTGGAAATTACTTAGCAACAATTATAAAAGACGCTGAAAAAATAACCGTGACGGTGTCTTGCACTACGCCGCCCTACAGGAGGCGCATTGCATGGAGAAGCGGTTCACGTAATTTTTAATACGGATTCTGCTCGCGGTAATTGAATTAAAGTAGCTGCATTAAGTGTATTTAATATAAAACGTATTGTGAATAGGTCTTCACTGGAAAATTGAATAACTAAAAACATTCAGAGATTAACATCTCATCATACATTAACATTCACAGATTACGTTTATGTCGCTTCAGTACCCACAGAATTTTAGGAACTTACTTTCTTGTCTACGAATACTGAACTTAAATTAAAGATATTTTGAAAACTGTCAACTTCAATTTACTGTTTGTTCTCAAAATGTTCACCTCAAATCAAAATCAAACACAAAACACTCAATGAAGTAGTCACCATGCACTGAACAGTTCAATGGAAATGTCTCTAATCTGATATTTTCTAACAATCCAAGGTTTTGTTCACTTCCTCCTCTCTGCGAGGGAACAAATTCTAGGTTTCGTAGTGAACAAGCCTGCGCGAAGTGCAAAGACAACACTAGTGACGAATGACGACACAACGTTGCAATCACAATTGAGACCGAACTCTTATTCACAGAACCATAGCACCGCAATCTGTTTAATAAATATTTTTTTAACAGATAGCGCCAATGTATATGTATAACAGACGAGGTTCCGGCGTATAAACGCTTGCACTCTCGATGACGTGTAAATGGAACTTCAGTTCACGAGACGAGATGGCATCACACTTTTGTACACACACTGATCACTAGCAGAATGAAACGTTGATTTCTATGAAGTCAGTAGTTGGTTCAGTTGTGGCTTAACCGCAAACGTTCAATACAACACGCGTTGATGAATCCAAGCGAACTGACGTGACGGGTCCGGGTGACGCAATCACGGCGCATCTCGGGGCCCTGGAGGCCCGCGTGGAGGCTGCGGAGGCATGGCGCTGACGACTGCGCGCCGCGGGGCGGATGACGGCGAGCGCGTGGACCGGCGAAGGCGGGGCGGGGGCGGGGCCGGGGCGGGGGCGGCGGCGGGGGCAGCCTAACGGGACGGCGCGGCGCAGCTGGTCGCACAGCGCGAGGCGTCGGGCGGACGCCTGTCTATAGGGCGCCCCGCACCACAAGGGGTGGGCTGGAGGGGATTTGCCCGAGATTGCTCACGTTACAGGATTATTTGACTGGGCGGATTTTTGAATCATTTATGTATGAAATGATATCCGAATATTGCCAAAAAATTGACCCTTGCGGTGCACCTGGTTTTTGAGAGATCTCTGTGCCAGAAGATTCTTTGAGTCATCGTTAGGAACGAAATTATATAGCTAAAACTGATGATGTGATGCATTGGTTGCTTTTC